GATTTTTGCAAAGTCCCCCTAGAGGGTCGGGCTTTTGCAAAGCACCCCCATGGGGTCAGATTTGTTTGCAAAGTCCCACCAGGGGGTTAGGATTCTGGCAAGGTCCATTCACAGGGTCAGTCTTGTCCAAAGTCTGCCAGAGACTGTGACGTCCGCGAAAAGCCTCCGTCCTCTTCCTCCCTCCTCCCCTCCTGCCTGTCCTCCCACCAACCCTTACTTTGCCCTGTTCCCTCCGCGTCCTTCCGCCGAATAACCCCTCCTGTCCCCCTCCCCTGTCACCCTCCATCCTTATCCTCCTTCTCCTCGTCCTCCTTCTGAGGCGACCCGAAGCATTTCAGAAGTGGTTCTGAACGCAAAGGGGTCTGGCCACCAAAGCAGGCACCGCTCAGCCCGATACATCCTCGCAATCTGAGCCCCCGAGGGTGCGAAAGCCAGCGCCTCGCCCGAGACGTCCTCAAATTCTGTGCCGAAGCCGGAGGATGTGGATGCAAACAGACGATTCGCCACTCTACCAGATTTACCTTTGAATGGCGATACCCCAAGGGGGCTATTGGCAACATACCGTGGGTGAGCACTCACTCTTGGACAACGTTCTTTGCACATGTCATTCCTCCCCTCCTCCTCCACCCGCAAAAGGGGGGCGAGGAAAGGGAGGAAGGGAAGGAGGGGGAGGAAGGAATTTAGAAGATGCCAGCCGCCGTCCGCCGCCCCTTGGCCGACGATCCGCGCGAGAGGCGTGCCGAAATTGGTGGCGGGTTTCTTTGGCCTTATTCCTGCGGGCCCGTTGGGGCGCAGGGAGTCTGGAGGCCCCCCGTGGCTCCAGCGGGGTTTGGGTGAGCTTTGGGGTGGCTCCCCGCGTCCCTCAGCCACCTGTTCCCCTTAAGGAGGGTGTGGCATAGGGGCGGGCGGGGCCCAGGTGCGCAATCCCTCCCTTCACGGGCACTGCGCCTGAGGGGGTCGCGATTGGTGGTGATTCCCGCCTCCCCTTTCCTTTTTTTGAGAACGGTGGCGCGTTCTGACCAATATTAGTTCGGAGGCGAATCCAGCCGCGGCGACGACGACAGACCCCGAGGCCGAAAAAATCGCCCACTCCTCTGGGTGATCTGGGGGGCGCCCTTCGGGCACCAAGGCTGCCGCCGTTCGCCGCCCTGTCTGGGGGGGGGGGCTTCGGGGCCTCCCTTTGGGTGGTGGTGCGTCTGGTCCCTGGGGCGCCTGGTCCCCTAGCCACCGTTGGAAACCAGTATTGCCTGTGTGGGGGGGGGGTCCCACATAGCATAGTGGGGCCCAGTCTCTTGCCCAGCCTAGGGGGTACCACATAGTGGGACCCCTCAAGGCTGGGCCCCACATAGTGGGACCAAGCCTTGGGGTTCCCGCATCGTGCGACCAAGCCTTGGGGGTCCCGCATAGTGGGGCCCAGCTTTGGTGGTCCCACAACCATGGGACCACATACTGCGCCCAGCCTTGGGGGTCCCACATAGTGGGGCCCAGCCCCTTGCCCACTTAGTGGGACCCAGCCTCTTGCCCACTTAGTTGGCCCGCTGCGTTCTGGCTGATTAGTTGGTTGGCCCTGATCGGGCCCTAACAGTTTCGTGAGCTTCTGCGAAGTCAGTTGATTGCCTTTCCTCGCATCGTGTAGGCCAGCGGCCGAAAACTTCCAAGAGCCCAAGGCGTGTTGGCTGGTTGATTGGCTGGTCCTGTTCGGGTCCTGAGAGTTTCGTGAGCTTCTGGGAAGTCCATTGATTGCCCTTGCTTGAATCGTGTTGGCCTTCGGCTTTAACTCCGCCAATCCCCGCGGCGTGATGGCTGGTTGGTTGGTTGGTCCTGCTCGTGTCCAGGCAATTTCGTGAGCTTCTGGGAGGGCCGTTGATTGCCCTTGCTTGAATCGTGTAGGCCTTCGGCTTTAACTCCGCCAATCCCCGCGGCGTCCTGGCTGGTGGGTTGGTCGGTCCCCCAGCCACCACCACCGTTGGAAACCATTTGCACGGTGGGAGGCGCCTGGCCCCCCAACCACCGTTGGAAACCAGTATTGCCGGTGGGGGGGGGGGTCCCACATAGTGGGACCCAGTCTCTTGCCCAGCCTTGGGGGTCCCAGATTGGGACCAAGCCTTGGGGGCCCCGCATAGTGGGACCCAGCCATGGTGGTCCCACAGCCATGGGACCACGTACTGCGCCCAGCCGTGGGGGTCCCGCATAGTGGGACCCAGCCTCTTGCCCACTTAGTGGGACCCTGACTATCAGGCGCCTAGCCCGTTCCCCGAAGGCTTCGAGGATCAAGCGCCCACACCAGAAGGCATTTTGCCTACCCGCGCACTGCTCTCCGAAGGCATTGTGCGCGATGGCTTCGCAGGGTGCCCTCCCTGCGGACGACCAGCGTGGGCCACCTGAGCAGGGGCCTGAGGGCGGCCAGCCTGGGCCAGCAGTGCCCGCCGCGGACGGTGAGCCTCAGCCAGCAGTGCCTGCACCTAGGCGCCTGACCCCTCACCGCCGTGCGCTCGACAAGGCTTTGCTCTACGCGAAGATCTCCCAGCGCACGAAGTTCTGGCTCCAGGGAGCTTGCCCCGAGGCGGAGATGGGAGAGGTTTCGTACAACGACGTCGCCCGCGTCATCCACGTGCTGCAGGCTGTGATTCAGGACGAGGTGAAGCTCAGGGGCGTCTGCATCATCCCTGGCTTCTTGAAGGTGGTTGGCAAGAAGGTCAAGAAGCAGCCGCCAAAGGTGATCAAGGTCAGCGACTTCCTACTCTGCTGATTCCTCTGTTCCACCAGTCCCTCACACCTCTAAGCTCTTTCACCACGCTGTATCTCCTTACCATTGTTTTTTAACTTGTCCCATTGCTCCTCCGAGGTCCGCGGCAAAGAGTACACCATCCCTGAGATGCCTGCGCACCTTCTGCTCCAGGCCACCATCGCTAAGGACATGCAGAGGATCGACGACCCCGAGCAGGCGGACCCTCCCGAGGCCGACGGCTCGTCGTCCCCGAGCATCATGGGGTCGTCGTCCGACGCCGTCGAGGACGGCCAGCAGCAGGATGCGCCAGCGGAGTGATCCAGTGAAGGTCCAAGCTTCTCTCTGAGGTTAGGGGCCCTGGGCATCCAAGATTTTAATTCCGTCTGAGGTCCAGGATCCGATTACTTCTGGTCTGGGGTCCAGGACCAGAGGCTTTTTGTTTTTCAGATGCGTTATTTCCCTTGGTAGCTCAGGGCCCAGCCCGACGCCTGAAGGCGCTCTTAGAGAAGTTCGAGAGAGCGCCTCGACTGAGTTATCGTTGTTGTCGACATCGTCCTTGTCGTAGTTGCTGTCGCCATCGTCGTCCTTCTCGTCGTCATCGTCGTCGTCGTCGTCGTCGTCGTCCTCTGCATCCTCGTCGTCGTCGTCGTCGTCCTCGTCGTCGTCGTCGTCCTCGTCGTCGTCATCCTCGTAGTCGTCGTCGTCCTCGTCGCCGTCGTCGTCCTCGAAGTCGTCGTCGTCGTCGTCGTCGTGGTCGTCGTCGTAGTGGTGGTCGTCGTCGTGGTCGTCGTCGTCGTGGTCGTCGCCATCGTCGTCGTCCTCGTCGTTCTCGTCGTCGTCGTTTTTTCTTTTTGAAGCTAGCAATGGTTAGCATGTTCTTTACTTTTCATTCGCTCTCGAACTCGCTACCCCCGAGATGCTCTCTCTGACTTCGGCCCGTCTGTCAAGAGAGGCAGGAGTGCCTCGCCCGTTTCGGCCGAAGAGCCAGTGGCCACGACCAAGCTGCTTGAACGCTTGGACGGTTGTGCTTGAAATCACCTCCTCCTCCTCTTCCCTGTGGGAGGGGGCAAGTGGCCTCCGTGCCCTCCTCATCCAAGGTGTAGTGGCACCTCCCCCCCTCCTTGCGAGGGAGGAAGAGGAGGAGGATAAGGAGGGGGATGGGCCCGAACGACTCACACCAGGAGGTGAGTCGTGCGGGCCCCTCCTCCTCCTCCGACTCCTCCTCTTCCTTCCTCCTCCCTCCTCCCTCCTCCTCCTCCTCCCTCCTCCTCCCCCTGGGGCAGACGCTGGCGGAGGTAAAACGTTACATGGCGCGGAACCCACCGCCGCCAGAAGGAGGACGTTGAGGGAGAAGATAAGGAGGAAGGAGGGGGAGGAGGAAGAGACCATGATGATGATGATGATGATAATGATGATGATCTCTCGTTGGGTTGATCCTGTTCCTCCGTCCAGGGTGCCCTGGGTTTCTTGGGCTTCGATGGTTGCGCTATGGAAAGCGTGGCATTCCCACGCCAAGAAGCAATGGGCATCCTGGGGTCTCAGGGTTGGGTTTCTTATGGAAGGTTTCTCGCCCGTTCAGGACGCTATCCTTGTCGTGGGTGGATTCTTGAGCTTCTTCTCACAGGAGTACCCAATTGCTGCGTTTGTTGGACTCGGCCTGAGGCCCGCGGGGCAGAAGGAGGTTCTTGACGCTTCGCGTATCCCCACCAGCCCATCCAGGAACGACGCCCAGACGCGTTGAGGTGATCAGGCAAGCGCGGGAGGCCCTCTTGGGCCCCTGATGGGCCCATAAGATGGTTCCAATAGGGCCCTAGGAGGGCCCCTAGAGGGCCCCAAGAGCCGTCGGCTGATTTCCAGGGGAGAAGGTAGGGAGATGGGTTTGATTAGGAAACTGGAAGAGGAACCGCTCTAGACCACCTACGCCCAGATGGCTGGTGGGACCTAGCCCCCCAAAGCTCGTCTGGTACCAGTTGGGGGTGGTTCACGAGTTGACAATTTAGCCCCCCCAAGCTCGTGTAGTACTGGTTGGGGGGTGGTGCCATTCCAATAGGCGCCTTGCGTTTGTGGCACCTCTTCGAGCCAGGTTCGGTGAGCTTGTCCGCCTAGGTTCGCGACTCCCCCCTCTTTGGGCAGGTCCTTCGAACCCATCTTCGTATCAACCAGTGTCTACGCTGTAGAGGGCTCGGCTCAAGAACGTGGGAGTGAGTCTCTTGTAGGACATCTTTGAGGTCCCTCCGAGCCACCATTCGCCCTCTTGTAGCACAGCTGCGTCATGTCGACTCGAGGCGGGAAGGGTCTTGGCGGTGGTGGCGGTGGCAAGAAACGAGAAGCTGCGAAACCGTCCAGAGGCGCCCTGACTATCGCAAACGTGAAAAAGCTCAGGGCAGGTGGTGAATTCTGTTGCGGCTTCTGTGGGTGTTGCGACAGCGGTGAGGCCGTCGCTGATTGCCAGGTCGAGGTCTGCCAGAAGTGCTGGAAGCGCTACTTGGCCGCGTTCACCACCTACGGCGATATCAGTTTCGTTATGGAAGGCGTTCAAGATGAGGGCAGCACGATCCACGCGGAGTGGCAGGAGTCTGGACAGACCGAGGACGGGGTTATGCGCGCGTTTTTCTCTAGCGACGTGTCTGATTCCAAGTCCTTCGAGGTAAAGGTCACCAAGCCGATGATTGGCTTGACCCGCCAGCAAGTCATTGCGGCCTTGGGCGGCCACGAGCCCGACAAGGTCGGCCTGCGGCTCGGCGACCTGGTGGATGCAGAGGGCAACGCCTTCAAAGGCGTCCTGGTGCCGAATCCCAGCAGGCCGTACCTGGAGGTCGATGTGTCCACCACGATGTCAATTACCAGGGACACGACGAAGTTGAAGGGGGACGCGCAGCTCTTCGCGGACCAGGGCAAGAAAGTATTCGAGTACGAATGCAACGATGCCAAGACGAAGAACTCCATATGGAAGCACGTCCTCACCAAGGCGAAGACCGAGGTACACACGCTCGAGACGCTGAAGGCTAAGGGTGAGAACTACCAGAGGTTGCTCGACTCCCAGAAGGCTAAGGGTTCTGCCGCATGTGATGATGGTGCGTCGTCGACGGGCGACGCCTCGACAAGGCCGCCTGATACACCTACTTCGGCACTCAGCCCAGGCCCGTCAACCATGAGTGCCCCTGTGTTGAACCCAGCTGCGCTGCGCGACTCCGTCACGCACTACAGCGGCGAGTACAGCGAGAACAAGAGGCAGAAGGCCACTTCAGGGAAGGCAGCACGGAAGTCCCCCGCAACGGCGGGGGCTACCCCCGACAAGTCCGAGAGCTACGATCTCGTGCAGCGGAGGAAGGGGGCCCTCAATCTCGAGAGGTGCTGGAATGGGGGCGCCATGGGCAGGGAGATCCGCTGGGCCAGGGATGCCGTCGCAGCCATCCTGGACAAGGCTATCCCTGGCGAGGCCGAGCTGGCTGATGAGCTCGATGGTCATCGCAAGCTCGCCGAGGCCATCTGCGGCTTGATGGAAAAACCAATCAAGAACATCAACCAAGATAAGCTCGACTCGTATCTCGTCGTCATCGAAGGCATGAACGAAGACGTGAGGTCCGCCGTCAAGGTCGAGCTCTTGAAGACGAGATTCAGCAACATGATCTTCGCGGGCAGTTGCACGGCCTCGGATTTCTTTCGGGTGGCCGCCCCATGGAACACACTCACCGACACCGACGATGCAATGTTCAAGCCACGCGACCCGCGCGTCTACACCATTGACGGCTCCAAGCAAGACAAGATCTCAATGACCGACTCCCTCATGATTGACGTGTATAACGGGCACATCACGAACGGCAAGGCTGGCAAATCCAGCTTGAAGAGGCTATGCGTGGATTGGCTCGACTGGGTGGACGACAACGTCGTCGACGATGAGGACTACGACCTGCTCATCACCAGCCTGATCACCTCATGGAAAGCGCTGTTGAGTTTCATCGATCCGAAGGTCACCCAGTACGATGACGCTGTGACTGCGTTGTCGAATTGTGCAGAGAGCAAGCCTGGACAAGCGAGCCTTCGCCATCTCGCCTTGCTGATCAGGCGGTCTGCCGACTACACCGAGATGAAGGATGAGTATCACAAGTTTTACAAGAGGACGAAGGAGCTGCTGCCCACCGTCGCCGTGCATGAGAAAAATATGAAGGAGATGACTGTAGCGGCGTTCGTGGATGGTGGGCACATGTTGGCTGCCCTCCAGACAGTGGCGAAACTTCAGTTAGAGTGCCGGCCTGGCTCTTGGGAGGGCTTCGAGATCGAGCTGACTGCGAAGCTCGAGGAGTACGTGCGCGGAATCACCGTCGACAAGAACTACGCGAAGATGGACAACACCACCCAGACGCAGAAGCTGTCCGAGGCGAAGGTGCTGTTGCAGGAAGCCAAGAAGAACTTGACTTCCAAGAGCTCTGCTTGGCAAATCGCCCTCAATGAGGTCGGGGGCGCTGAGGCGGGCATCAACCTATGGAACGCGAACTAGGGGCTCGCGTCGCTGGCACAGGCTTTGACTGCAGACTCCCTCAAGGACCCTGCCAAGCGCCAGAGCGTAATCCCTGTCATTGACTCCGTCCTGGCTGCTGGAGGCCGGAGCTCCGAGGCGCACGCAGAGAGTGCCAAGGCAATCCAGGCGAGTGTCACGGCATGCATCGGGAACCACTGCGAGAGTCCTGAGTCCACGGAGCCGTATGTTTGCATCTTGAAGAAGATCCTAGAGGCAAAGTGGTTGACTGACAATGGCAACAAGGAGTTGACCAGCTTCGTCAATTTACTCGAGTGCTGGAGCCCAATAGTCGAGCACAAGAAGCAATGGGAAACACTGGGTGAAGACGACGGCAAGCGCTTGGAGGAGGCGTCGGCGAAGAACATCATGGTCTCCTTGCTGTCCTCCTTGGAGAGGGTGAAGGAATTCATGCACGACCCCACGCAGGTCCCCTCTCTCACGATCGACTACGACCAGGCCAGGAACATGCAAAAGAGTGCTTCCCTGGTCTCGGCAGAGAACAACAGCAGGGCCTTGATGCAGTTGTGCGACCAAGCGGAGCCCAAGAGCACAGGAGGCACATCGAAAGATCAGCCGTGGCATTCGACATTGGATGCAGACGCGTCGACGAAGGACGTCATCGAGCTTGGCAAGACCACGCTCCTCAAGATCAATGCGTCCGAGTTCAAGAGTATGACGGATAGGCTGATCCACGCGATGGACACCTACAACGTGTGGTCCACGGTGATCAACTACACGACGGACGCCGCCCTCGTCGACAGGGCCCGCGAGGTCAAAGCCGACTGCTTGGCCACGATGTTCTCGGCGAAGCTCATCCACGACCAGATCGAGCACGCGGATGCGCCGACGAAGCTCCGCAGGGCCGCGAACAAGATCAAGCAGAGCGTGAACTCAGCAGGAGTGCTCGACAGGATGCCCCAGCAGCTGCGCGACATGATGAAGAGCATGTGCTCGCTCAAGGCGGCCTGAGCGGAGCCGCGGAGCACGGCGCGCCGTGCCAGGTTCGCGGGCCCGACGGCCCTGGAGCACAGGAGCCCCAGCAGGTGTGCGGCCTCAAGAGGCGCGGCTTCGTCAAGGCCTGCCGACGTGGACCAGCGGGGGAAGGGCTGATGAGGAGAGGAGCGAGGACAACGATGACGAGAATGACGATGGCGATGATCATGAAAAGGATGAGGAGAGGGAGGATGAGGAAGATGAGGAGCAGTCAATGGTCCAAGACGCCTGCGGCGAATCACCGCCGCCCCGCCTTTTGGAAGTGCCTGGGTGGCTGGACGTCGTGGCCAGAGCTCGGCCAAGCAATCGGACTATTGTTTCCCCTGCCGTTGTGGAGTGCGCAGAGTACGCAGTGGAGGGATTGGCACCGTGCCATGCCCTCATCCTCCTCCCTCTTCCTCTTCCTCCTCCCTCCTCCTCCTCCTCCTCCTCCTCCCCTCCTCCTCCTCCCCTACTCCTCCTCCCCCCCCTCCTCCTCCTCATCCTCCTCCTCCTCCTCCTTCTCCTCCTCCTCATCCTCCTCCTCCTCCTCCTCCTCCCTCGTCTCCAACCCCGTCCCTTCTCCACGTTCACCTCTTTCCACATTTCTCCACCGCCGCCTTCTCCTCAGCCGTATTGTTTTCTTCAACGTTCCTTCCTCCATCTCTGTCTTTCCCCCCTTCCACCTCCGCCTCACTCCGCCCCCACCCCCATCGACGCGTATTCCCCCATCGTTGTTCTTATCCTGCCACCGCCGCCTCCCTCAAGTTCCACCATCGACCTCGATTTCTCTCTGCCTCTACGTCCTCCCCCCTTCCGTCTCGTCATCGCCTCATTTGCCCCACCTCTGACTCCTTCCTGTCTGCCTCGTCCTCCTCTTCTGCCCCCAGTACGCCCGTCCTCCTCTCCCCTCCTCCTCCTCCCGCCTCCCCTCCTCCCCACCCCACCCTCCTCCCTCCTCTCCTTCCTCCTCCCCTCCCTCGCCCCCTCCCTCCTCCCCTCCTCCTCCTCCTCCCCTCCTCCTCCTCCCCACCCCTCCGCTTCCTCCTCTTCCTCCTCCTCCTCCTCCTCCTTTCCTCCTCCTCCCTCCTCCGCCTCCTCGTCCTCCTCCTCCCCTCCTCCTCCTCCCTCCTCCCTCCTCCCCTCGTAAGCCTCCGTTGCCAGTTTGGGTTAGACCGCTACTGTGGGAATGTGGTATCGAGCGCTGCGATACGCGGCGCGCATCCTGGCGCGCGACTTGCTGGTTTTGTGCGCGCCCAGCCCGCGCGCGGCTTGCAAGTCGGCGGGGTCAGCCCTGCCGACGGCGAATGTCGCTGAACAGTTTCGGTTATTGTTTGGCCAAGGCCATGTGTTGCCGCGGGGGCCTCGATGCGGGGTCCCGAGTTTGCGCGTGAACATATTGTATTGCGGCGGTCGAAACTTGCCTTGCGCTCTGTACTTGTCCCGAAAAGTGGGGGTACTTTGGATAGTACTTTTGCGCGGTACACTGATGGGTGCTCGAATTTGCAGGGTACTTTGGGTGTGTACCTTAGATCATATCTCAAACCCTACTTTGCCTGTTTTCTTCATTTCCTCTCTGTAGCAGGACCCCCTTGTCACAATGCTGAGTTGCCCCTGTGCGAGACGGGCCTGTCGGCGGAGAAGACCCCAGCAATCGCGGCGGGTCTCCAGTGAAGCCAGTTGCCGTGCGCTGGCACGTGTGCCAGTGCGGGGTGCGGTGGTCGGCCCTGGCCCCCAGGCGCAAGCTGGCCGGCATGCCGCCCCAGTGCGCCACCCGAGCGTCCGTCAATGGTGAAGGGCATCCCTGCTGGGCGTCGCGTAGCGGGGGGAAGATGGATGGGGGGCAGCGAGGGCTGCAGAGATGGGGCCCTGTACGGCCCCTGAAGGGCCCTTTTTAAGGAAAAGGGCACTTTTCTTCCCCCCCACCGACCGCCCCCCCATGAATTGACACCCCACCCTGCATCCCAGTTGGCGGACGGTAGGGTTCCCTGCTCATCTGCCTTCGGCCGTCAGCAGCTGTCCTGGCGTTTCCAGGAGGCAAGTCAGTGGACATCAGGTGGGATCCCAGTCGCGCGTAGGCTCAGGGGTCAATTCCGCGACTTCCTCTACGGTGTGTCTTCCGATGTGTAATGGTGGCTGTAAGGTTCTTGCGCTCACTCTCACTCCCTCTCGTCTTCTCTCTCCCTCCCTCCTTCTCTATTCTCTCTTTTCTCTCTCTCTCTCTCTCTCTCTCCCTCTCTCCACATGAGATCCTGGTGCTGGTGTATTGCGTGCGTGAGAGGAAGCGGGAAGGCGGGTCATTGGATCCAGGATGTGGGCAGGGAGCGTCTGCATTGTTTTAGGCTGTCTGGCTGCAGATGCTCCGAGCAGTACTTTCAGTCTTTTCGCCTTCTTCGGCTGGCTGCCGTGCTGCATCACTCCAACTTCCCTCGGAGGCTCTTTGAACGGCTAGGTCTCTTGGGGTCTTCCGGAGATCGGGCGCGTTTTGTGGTCAGTCTTGCTAGCCCCACTGTATCCTCATATCCGCTGCACCGAGAGGTCCCCGTAGCGGTGATCCATGCTTGAGGCGCGAGGCCACTCTCACTTACTATGCGTATCGTTTTACACATGGCTTGAGGTGTGCTTCGGCATGTGGTCACGATGTCAGTGCGGGCCGCGTGTTTCTGAGCTCTGGGGCCTCTTCGGGGTGCTCTGCCTTCACCTCTTCCCCCTCCAAACCGAAGGGAAGGACATGTTGAATACATGTTCCCACCAGCCCTCTTGGCGTGAGTTGTTTAGGGTGGTTTCTCTTCTATATTGGAGAGGCCTCACGGCCGGTGCCGCCGACCCTGATCGAAAGGGCTAGGAGTGGGGGGAGGAAGCGGAGGATGAGGAGGATGAGGAGGATGAGGAGGATGAGGAGGAGGAGGAGGAGAAGGAGGAGGAAGAGGAAGAGGAGGAGGAGGAGGAGGAGGAGAAGGAGGAGGAGCAGGAGGAGGAGGACGAGGAGGAGGAGGAGCAGGAGGAGAAGGAGGAGGAGGAGGAGGAGGAGGAGGAGGAGGAGGAGGAGGAGGAGGAGGAGGAGGAGGAGTGCATCCTTTGTGTGCCCGCTCGAAGAAAGTGCGCCCCGGGAGTGTGATATTCTGACTTGGGACGTGCTCCCGGAAGAGGAAGAAGTGCATCTCGGGCGTGCCCGCTCGAGGAAAATGCGCCCTAGGGGGGTGGTATTTTGACTCGGGGCCCGCTCCCGGGACGCCTCTGCGGGAGGAGGAGGAGGAGGAGGAGGAGGAGGAGGAGGAGGAGGAGGAGGAGAAGGAGGAGAGGAGCAGGAGGAGGAGGAGGAGGAAAAGGAGGAGGAGGAGGACCAGGAGGAGGAGGAAGTGCATCCCGTGCGTGCCCGCTCGAGGAAAGTGCGCCCCGGCGGGCGTCGTATCTGCCCCGGCCCCCCCCCCCCCTCCCCCCCCCCCTGCGGGGAAGGGATCAAAGGGAAGGGGCTTCCCTTCGACTCCACTACGACGTCGTTTAATTTCGCTTTGGATAGCGCGCTTGAGGAGGAGAGCCCTGGGAGGGGGAGAACGGAGACGACGGAGACGACGAGTCGAACGGAGAAGCCCCTCACACACGCCGACAGGGTCGGCGGATTCCCTTCTTACCCTCCGAGGAGGGGTTTCCCCCTCCCTCTGACCCCTCCCCCTGGACCTGGACGGGGTGCCCCGCGACCGGTTGGAGCGTCCAAGATGGCATATGATGGCTTCAAGAGGGCCTCCTTCGCCAGGCCGAAGGGAGGGCCACGTTGAAAACGTAATTATTGTGTATTTTGGCAAGGCCAGTGTCCCCACATCCAGGTGACCCAACGACTGTCGGGCCTCATGGCCTCCTGGACGCCCCTGCAGGGCGTCTCATAGGTTTTCGGGGCCCACCTGGATGCCCCTGGCGGACCTCGACAAGAGGCTCAACGCTGTCAGGAGGGCGCCCGAGCGGCCTCATGCGAGTCCCCAGTGGCTAAAGAGCACGCCGAGACGCCCCGAGATGCCCCCCAAACGCCACATACATGGAATTCCTTGGAAGTTGTTGCTGCATTTTGGGATATCAGTTTCTTCGATCTTCCAGGCTCAAGTTGCCGAATCCGCCCCCTAACAGATCTTCCCAAGACGGGCCAAGCAGGTCTCAAGACGACCCAAGAGAGCCCCGAGGCGGCCCGAACAAGAACGCCCCAAGACGGGCAAATAGACCCCAAGACGCCCTCAAAACACTCCACGTCAGTACACGATCGTTGAGGTGAGCGGCAGTTGTCGGTAAGATTGCCCCAGGGAGCCCGCAGGGGAAAGGCTCCCAGGAGTCCTCCAGAGGCCCCCACGGAGACCACATTGAGCCTGCGGGAGGTTCAGAGACCCCGTAAGGAGGATCCTCCGTCAAACAAATAGAAAAGGAAAATACGTAAGCCTCCGCCAAACGAATAGGAAAGTAACACATGTAAGGGCTGGCAGTGAAGGGCGAGCACGAGGAAGGGGGTTAACGAAGAGGAGGACATCGAAGACGCCTACGGCGAATCACCGCCGCCCCCATGTGGCCGAGCGTTGTGGCAAGAGCTCTTCCAAGCTATCGGACCATATGTTCCCCCCAGCCGTTGTGGAAAGCCTTCGGGGAACACGTGGTGGAGGATGGCGGGGAAGATAGGAGGAGTAGGAGGCGGAGGAGGTGAAGGAGGAGGAGGAGGAGGAGGAGGAGGAGGAGGAGGAGCTGGAGGAGAAGGAGGAGGAGGAGGTGGAGGAGGAGGAGAAGAAGGAGGAAGAGGGGGCATCTTGGGAGCCTCTGGGGACACTCTTGGAGCCGCCTGGGAGCTTCTCGTTGGAGGCCTATTGGGGGCCTCTTGGGCCGTCTTTGGCAATATTGACGCCATGTTAGGCCGTCTTGGAGGCATCTTGGGCCGTCTGGGAGGCATCTTGGGGGGCGAAGCTATCGGACCATGTTTTCCCCGAGTCGGTTTGGAAAGCCTTCGGGGAACACGTGGGGGAGGAAGAGGAAGAGGATAAGAAGGAGGAACATGGAAATGGGGGAGGATGCCTCTTCGGAGCCTCTTGAGGCACTCTTGGACTCGATTGGGCCATCTTGGGACCGTCTTGGAGGTCATGTTGGAGCCTCTTGAGGGCCTCTTGGGGCCTTTTGGAGGCTTCTCGGGGGCCTCTTTGGACGTCTTAGGGCGTTCCTGGCCCGTCTGACGCCGTCGGGAGCCGTCTTGGGGGCCTCTCTGAACCGGCTTGGGGCCCTCTTGGGGCGCTTCGGGGCCGTCTTGGAGGCTATCGTTATCGTCTTGGAGGCCTCTCCGTAGCCATTTCGGCTCAAGGGCGCGGGGCCGCGCGCGGGCTCGGCGGCGCCACGTCGCCGCCATGCTGGAGGACCTGGCGCGCCTCGGCGCGCGCACGCTGCTCTCCGAGGGCGCCGCGCTCGGCAAGGCAATGCCCCCGAGCGCGAAGCCCGGGAAGCGGCGCCCCTGCCCGCGAGCGCTGTCGATGCCCAGGGCCGCCACGAAGGGCACCGACGATTGCGGCAGCCCCGCGCCAAGAGGCTCCGACGAGCTCGGCGGGCAGGCGGGTGGCGGCGAGGCGCAGGAGGTGGTGCGATTGCGGCTCGAGCTGGCGGCGATGACGTCGAGGTGCGAAAGGCAAGCGCTCGACATCTCGCACCTGAGGAGGCAGCTCGCCGACGCCCAGGACCAGCCTGCGCCGCCGCCGCCGCGGCAGGCGCAGGCGGACGGGGCGACCCAGACGGCTGAGGTTGCTTGCGCGGCCCCTCGCCCCGGCACCGACGGGAACCTGCACCAGGGACTCGAGACGCAGCGGCGGCAGCTGGACGCGCTGCAGCAGGAGGCCGGCGAGAAGGGCCGAGAGCTGGGGCGCGCGAGGGCGTCGCAGCGCCTCCTCCAGGCCGAGCTCGAGGAGCAGCGGATGATCGCGGACCAGTACCGCGAGCAGGTGGAGGTGCTGGAGGAGCAGCTCCGCCGGGCCATGACGCAGCGCCAGGAGATGGCCATGTCTTCGGGGCCGCGGAGCAGGCCGTCTTCGGCGAGCAGCCGAGGGCTCTGCGACCGGGCGCCGATCGGCGCCGGCTCCAGGCCCGGCTCCTCGCGCGCCGTCAAGGCGTGGGTGGAGCCGCGCGGCACCCCGCGCGGGACGCCCCTGGCCTCTGGCCGAGACGGCGGCCGTGGCGCTGCCGGCCCGGAGCTCGCAGGCATCTCGTCTGGGTCGGCCTGCGAGGTAGACGTGGACGGCGAGGAGGCTTCTGTGAAGGCAGACGCCGACGGGGACAGCGACGCGGAGTTCAGGGCCCGGCGCGACCGGGAGAGCCACTCGGTGAGGGAGACGTGGGCGAGATGAGGGCCGCCGCGCTTCTGCGCCCCTGCGGGCTGCCGCCCTGGCGCTCGCGCCTCGGCGCGCTCCCTCGGGGAGGGAGATAGGACATTTGCTTGTGTCTAGATCTGGGCCTCCTCGCTCCTCCTCCTCCTCGCTCCTCCTCCCTCTGTCCCAGCACCTCTTCTTGACTTGAATCTGGGCCGCGCCCCCTGTGCTCCAAGCGGCGGGCCGGTGCACGCGAACTGACGGCGGACCCGGCCCCTCTCGTGACGCGGAAGCAAACGCGCTGCGTGTCTTGCGGGGGCGGCCCGGCCCGCTGGCTCGGAGTCGTCTTGGAGGCCTCTTTGGGCCCTCTCAGGGCCGTCTCGGAGGCCTCTTTGGCCGTCATGGGGCCATCTTGGAGGCCTTGTGGGCGATCTTGGGGCGATCTTGGCGGCCTCTTGGGCCGTCTTGAGCCGTCGGAATGCCGAGAAGAGGCAAATGCCCAAACCCTTCAAAAACCTAAGGGCAATACATAAGTTTGGCCTCTTCGGGCCCTCCTGGAGGACCTCTTGGAGACCTCTTGGGCCGTCTTGGGCCGTCTTGGAGGCTTCTTGGGTGAACTTGGAGGTATCTTGGACCTTCTTGGGCCGTCTTGGAGGCCATCTTGGACCATCTTGGAGGCCATCTTGGGCAGATGTGGCCATCTTGGAGGCCATCTTGGACCGTCTTGGAGGATTTTTGGGGGAATTGGGCTCCTTGAAGATCGTCGCGGGACCCTGGCGGGACGCGCCGGAGCTCCAAGGGGAGTTCTTTTGGAAAAGAACCAAAATCAAAACCTTGGATGCCTGTGGGGATATGTTGGGGAGCATCTCGACAGCATCTTGGATGCGGTTGTGGGGGTCTTGGGGTCTCTGAGGCCTGACGTGGGGTTTTGGCAGGCCTTCTGGGGCTTGGAGGGCCCCTTGGGCGTCTCGGGGGTCATGTTGGGATGGGAAGTTCGAAGTGTCGGTTCGTGTTTCCCCTCTTGGGCCCCCTTCGGCCCTTCCTGGGGCCCTCTTGGGCCGTCTTGTGGGCCTCTTCGGCCGTCTTGTGGGCCTCTTGGGTCGTCTCGAGGGCCGTTCAGGGTCCGTCTTGGGCCGTCTTGGGGCGATCATGGGGGCCTCTTGGCCGTCTGGCAACGTTGAAAACTCGAAATCACGAGAACGCAAGAATCCGTCCAAAACCGAATGCAAACCAATGGTTTTGACATCTCGAGGCCCTCTTGGGTTGCTTTGTGGCTCTCTTGGGGCAGATTGGATTCCTCTTGGGCCTTCTTGAGGCCATCTGGATGGCTCTTGGCCCGACTCGGGGCCCTCTGGGACGGTCTCTGGGGCCTCTGGAGCCCTCCTGGCCCGTCTTGGGGTGCTCTGGCTCGGAGGAACTATCTCATACTTCCCCCCTGGGCCCGCCGCCTGCATACGTGGGTCGTGGGGAGGATTCTGAAAAGAGTGCGGGTGGAACACATGCAAAACAAATACATAACCACGCTCAGGAGAACAAAGCAAAGAGGAGGAGCAGCAGGAGTAGTGGACTCTTGCCCCCCTGTCTAACCCACCCGCCCAGTGCCTCGCCCCACTCTGTTTCCTCCTCCTCCTTCTCATCTTGTTCCTCTTGCCCCCTACCACAGCAAGTGTAGCTCAAGCCACACGGGCACGGAGCTTGCTGGGGTACCACAGGGCCACGGTGGCTCAGCGCCTGCGGCGTGGTGTGCTCTGGGCCACGGGAGATTTCGCTGAGCGCCAGGGCACATGTTGTCGGCGCAGTGGCTGCTGGTAGCTCAGTTGCTGAGCCAGTTGGGCTCGAGTAGTCTCCAGGGCGGCCCGCTTCTGCGGGGTCTTCGCGATCACGGCGTCTGGTGGCATCCGTCTATCGACGTGGAGGACATACCGGGATGCGGCCGAGGTGTGGTTGCCAAGGATAACATCAAGAAAGGCACGGGCATCATGGCTTCTAGGCTCATATTCGGCCCGCAGTCTGTCTCCGTCGGGCTCAAGGCTTTCTTCGACCAGTTAATCTCTTCCTCGGCGTCCGACCCAGACCTGGTGAACTGTACGCACGGCTGTCAGATGGCCGCGTTGCTGGCAGTCGGCATCGAGCACGAGGTCTTGGCCGAGCAGCTCTCCCCTGGCTCCTCCCCGATAGGCCGATATGTGCTTGGCACCTGGCCTGTCCCGGCGGGCGACCCAGGTGGCTTGGTTTCTTTCGACGATGACATGGCCGAGGTCGTGAGTCGCCTTCCCACTGGGAAGGAGTACTATCACCAGTTCTATGGATCCCTCCATCTCGTGCGCATGATGCTGCAGCACATGCCGACGGCGATCATGCCAGCCCAGGCAGAGCCCCAGAGAGTGGAGTTCTGGCATGCAGTTCTGCGTCAGCGGATCCACGGGCTGAAGGGCACAGAGGGTGAGGTAGTCGATTGTATCGCTGTCGGCCTGGACGTCCTGAACCACGTGGCGAACGACTCGGAGGGTGTTATCGCAGTCATGCCGAAGCCTGAAAGGTTCTCCGAGCCTCTCGGACCCCTCGCCCGCGAGTATGTGGCGCAGCGCGACTACGCGGCAGGGGAGCAGATCTTCATCTCCTACGGTGACATGGGCCACTTCGAGACGTTCCTGAGGTACGACTTCGTACCGCTGCCCCGCTGGCCTTACCGTGGACTCGCATACGGCACCTTCAATCCGGGTGACCGCCCTTCCTGGAAGGAAGCTGCGCTGTGGCGCTCGGGCGTTGCGTAATGAGGGGGTGGGGGCGATGAATGGGGGGATGAATGAGGGGGGGGGGCGAACCCAGGGGGTGGGGTGGGAGCGGCAGGTTTCTGGCAGTTTTCGGCCCCAGGGGGGCCTTCAACGAACCCCAAGACCGTCAAAAACAGCTCAGGACGAAAGTCGGCCCTAGGGAAGTGGTCCAGACCTTCGGGGGTCCACGCATAGAAAAAATTGGAGCGCCGACTGTCTGCGAAGAAAGGTTCACCTTTCGAGCACCTTGGGCGGTGCCCCAAAGGTGCCGCACGTTTCGTCGCCGCCCCCCCCCCCTCGTTAAGCAACGCCCAAGGCGCAGGCTCTGCCCACCCGGCACTGGCAAGAACATCTACTCGACCAGGGAGGCCGCCTCGTACCCCGAGGCCAGCTTGCTCTGCCTCCGCGCCTCGCTTTTCGCCTCGGAGGCCGCCGCCGCCCGCGCCGTGCGGGCGCGGTGGCTGCTGCCGTGGAAGCGGCAGCGGCTCTCCTGGTCGATGGCGGAGCCGGCGCTCCACGGCTGGATCTCGGTCGACTTGTACGTCTACAGGCTTTCGGTGGTAGGCTGTGGGAGCCTTCAGGGTTCTCGTGACTCCGTCCTTTTGGAGTGCACTGGCCCACGCTAGCGCCTCGTAGTCGATGAGGAGGCGCCGATGTGGCGTCGATGTGGCGTCGATTAGCGCCGACTGGCGTCGGTTAGCGTCGGTTAGCATTAGCTCTGAGCGCCTGTACATCTACAGGCGCTCAGAGCCCCGCATCGTCGGGGCTGGGGGTGGTCGGGGGCCCAAGACGGAGTTGCCCCGGACTGGAGTTATCCCAGGCAGTTCAAGCGTCCAACCCCTTCCGAGTCATCGGGGAAGGTTTGCGGGCAGGGGTAACTCCTGGTTCGTGCATCGGGGGCCCACGCCGGAGTTGCCCCAGGCCAGAGTTATCCTGGATAGTTCAGGCGTCCAAGGCTGGTCTCAGCTGCCATGGTACGCCCGCTCTGAACGCAACCCGTACCGTGCTCAAAACGTGACACGCTGCGTGTAGGTTCGGCACGTGTTGGGCCACGTTTTGGCGAGCGTATCGCGCCAGACCCGCGTTTTCAGTCTGCGTGTTGAGCTCCGTGTCAACACGCTACGGGCTGCGTGTTGCGTATCGGGGCAGCTAAGCTACAGGCTCGTCCGCGAACACTGCCACGGCTGGCTCCAGCAGCTGCACCCAGCGGCCAGCACGGTGGCCGCGCCCGCCGCTGGCGCGGCTGCGGCGGTGGCGCCCGCGAGGGCGGAGCGGCGGAGGGTCTTGGCCAGCCTGCTGGAGGACGAGAGGGACCTGATGGCCCGGTGCGTGGACGAGCTGGGCCGCCGCGTGAGGGTGCTGGAGCAGCTTCAGGGCTGCTGCGCAGCCGAGGGTGACACGCGCATTCACGTCATGTCCGACGGCGACGGGCGGTGACGGTGCTGGCCACAGTCCCAGACGCTTGATCCGCGCAGAAGGTTTTCCTCGCGACTTGCTCCCCGAAGATCCTGATCGCTGGCGCGAGCTGTTTTGTGGTGCTGCCCCACGGCCAGCATCCCAGGGCAAGGACGCGATCCGCCAGCGGCAGCCAGCTGTTGCCGACGGCCAGGGCCGCTACGCTGGCATGCGCTGGCGGCTGCCGCGCTCTTTAGCTCTGAGTGGCTCCTGCGGATCCAACGGAGCGTGCTGCTTCGCCTCTCCGCCTACCAGATTGTATTTTTCCTGGGGTATGGGGGGGGGTGATGATGTAGGTGATTCTGAGTATGATAATAGCGACAATGGTGATGAGGATGTGGCTTATGTCGAGGACGATACTGCTGATGGTGCTGATGATGTAGATGATGTCTATACGATGCCAGATGAGGCTGGTGGTGGTGTTGACTACGACGACGACGATGATAATGATGATGACGATGATGATGATGATGATGAGGAGGAGGAGGAGGAGGAGGATGTTGATGATATTGATGACGTTTTTGCTGATGTTGACGCTGATGTTGATGCTGATGACGATGCTGATGCTGATGCTGCTGATGATGGTGATGATGATGGTGGTGATGATGATGGTGATGATGATGAGGAGGATGATGATGATGCTGATGAGTGTGTCTGGCAAGCTCTCGGGCGGCAGGCGAGGGGCGTTGTTGGGCTGAGCGGCTTTCGTTTCCTCCACGGCCGCGCATGTTCATTGTCGCCACATGAGGTGGAATGCGGACTCTCTGGGAGGGAAAATGGTTTAACAAGTTTCTTCGAGCCAAAGACACCCAGCTGTTGAGCTGATGCTGAAGTTTTGTTCAGCTGGGCGAGCCTCAGCTCCGCACAGAGGAGACAAGTCGGGGTAGTTGGACGAGGGTAGGGGTGGAGGAGGATGCCTTTGCCCTTTATCTGATCAGTCTTCTACGCTGACGCTGAAGTTGGTGTCCTTTGATAGGTCTTTTCCGCAGGTTACAGTAGGCATTCCTGACAAGGAGTCCCGTTCTGGTGAGACCCACTGGCTGTATCAGACCCACGACTTAGTTTGTCCATTTCCTGCGTCCTGCAGCCACATGCTTAAGTAGTTCTGAGCGCGATGTTCGTCATCACACGTTAGCCCTATTTCTCGTAGCCCTTTGTGCATGATGAATGGGTTGAGTGTCCAGCTGCTAAATCACCTGGTGGCCAAGCCAGAATCGGCAACAGAGATGGAACGCCACGCAGAGAAACAATGAGCATCATTGGAGAGCAAAAACTCTTCCTCCCTGTCCTCCCTCTCTGCCGCTGCTGCTGCTCCTGCTCCTCGTCCTTCTCCCTTTTCCCTCCTCATCGTCCTCATCCTCCTCGTCGCCCCTCAGTTCGCCCTCCAATGGGTGGCAGCAGTGGCGCGTCACCTACGTACTTGCTGCAATGTAGCTGCCCCGCCCCACGTGCTAGCCTTCGCGCGCTACCGGTGGACGGAGGCTGAGTTGGCCAGCGAGGAATCTGCACTAGCTCTCTGGAATTCTTCCAGTTCCTACTCGATCTCCTACTAGAGCTCCTAGTACGGATCCTATTACAGGTCCCACTACATATCCTAGTAGAGTTCCCACTGCACGCCTTGTGTACAGTTCTAATTGCAGCTCTAGAGCTCGCAGTACAGCTTCTACGACGGCTCCAACTCCATAGGTTGGAACCACCATGCCTCGCAGGATTTCCGTAGCAGGAGTAAGGTAGGGAGCGCTCAGGACACATTGCATTCCGTTGCGTCGTATGGAGGCGTGTTGCGCTGTTGTTTGGGGGGGCGCAACAGTGTACCAGTGCATCTGTGTGCGTGTGCGTGTGCGTGTGTGCTTGTGTGTGTGTTTCTCGTGGGTTTTGGTTGCCTCGGCCCTCATCTACAGTTTTTGCCATCCTCTTCCGCTCTACGCCCCTACGGGCTCTCTTGGGCGTGCATGTGCCTGTCTGTGGTGAATTTCCTGTTCCTACACGCGCACCGCTCGCCAGCTGGACAAGGTTCGGTGGTAAACACCCTTAGCGCGTCCTGCTATCCGCCTCGCCGAGATGGAGCAGCCGGTCTCGGAGCAAAGCAGTGTGCGTTTCTTTCTGTTTTATTCTCACCCCTGAAACATTAACCCGGGGACGTGCCCAATCCTTTAAGCACGTGGCGAGTATACATCGGATCGCTCAAGACAAAAGCAACCATTACATGATCCGCAATACCCTTGAACGTTTCGCCAAACAACGTCGGGCCAGAGTCAGATGTTTCACATATGCGGCGTCACTCTTAAGAGTCAGGTCGTCGGCAGGAGAGCAACCACGAGGGGGCGTGGAAACATAGAGAGGAAGGGACGATTGTATACATAATTCGTAGGAGTAGCAGCGCCTTTGCGCTGTGTTCGCATTGCAGGACAGCGCTTTGCGCGCTATGACAGTCCAGTGCCTTGCGATACACGTAGCATGTGCCCGCATGCTTTATAAGCAACAGGCAACTGAAGAAGGGATGCGGCATGGGCAACGAACAGCGCCATGCGTGATTCGCTGCGCGGCGCTCGCCCAGGAGTCCACGAACGTGGCGACAGTTTCGCAGATCGCAGCCCCCCAGGGGCGGCGAGGTCTCATGGTGGTCCCCGCGGGACCCCCATCCTCTGGACCTCCCACGAGCCCACGAAAGTGGCGACAGTTTCGCAGATCGCAGCGCCTCACCAAGGACGGCGAGGTCGCATAGTGGCCCTCGTGGGGCACACCTCCGCTGGACCTTCCCCACGAAACTGGCGATAGTTTCGATGATCGCAGCGCCCCAGGGAGGGCGAGGTCTCATGGTGGTCCCCGCGGGACACCCCTCCGGTGGATCTCCCAGGGGCCCACGAACGTGGCGACAGCTTCGCAGATCGCAGCGCCCCAGGGACGGCGAGGTCTCATGGTGGTCCCCGCGGGACACCCTTCCGCAGGACCTCCCAGGAGCCCGACAGTTTCGCAGATCGCAGCGCTCCAAGGACGGCGAGGTCTCATGATGGTCCTCGTTGGACACCCCTCCGCTGGTCCTCCCAAGAGCCAACGAACGCGGCGACAGTTTCGCAGATCGCAGCGCCCCAGGGACGGCGAGGTCGCATGGCGGTCCTCACGGGACACCCCTCCGCTGGACCTCCCAAGAACCCACGAACGTGGCGACAGCTTCGCAGATCGCAGCCCAACGGGGACGGCGAGGTCTCATGGCGGTCCCCGTGGGACACCCCTCCGCAGGACCTCGCATGAGCCCACGAGCATGGCGACAGTTTCGCTGATCGCAGCCTCCCAGGGACGGCGGAGGAAGAAAATGAGGAGGAGGAGGAGAAAACAGGGAGGGAAGGAGGAGGGGGTAGGAGGAGTGACGGAGACCACGGTGCTCTGTTCAAAACGAATACCCAACCAAGAGAGGGTTGGGAATTTCAAGTGGCATGCATGCCAGGGCCCTTGCACGAGAGAGGGCGAGGGCCAGGTGAGGGCCAGGCGAGCGGGGTGAGGAGGGGGGGGGCGGAGGGGGGTTCTTGGGGCCATCCTGGTATGCTTCTGGGGCCATCATGGCCAGCATGAGGAGGCACTGGCAAGGGGGGCCCAGGAGGGTAACGCGCGAACGGCCGAACGACGCCAGAAATAATAGGCTCCGAGCCTGATGAGGCTGGGAAAGGTTTTCTCTTAACGCCGCCACGTGGTCCAATGCCGCATAGCAGCAGGAATTATGTGATCGATGGCTGCACAATCTGATACAGTGGCCGAACACACTGCGCTTCCGATGTCCATACCCACTTTGCCTGTTTCACGGGTCACACAATAGTGGGGCCATATCTTCACGATTGTTTCCGCCAACCACGTGTGTACATGCATGACATCTCCATTTTTGCGCTCCATGTGACCAAGCACGATGTGTCTCGGAGCGTCCGGGGCCCCCGGCGACGACGACCACCACGACGATGACGACGAATTTTACGACTTTGATGACGACGACGTTGACGTGCGTTCTCGCCCGAATGTTAGTCACTCTTTGGCTCTCGCCTCATCGCTGGCTAGTGTGTCGGTCTGGCCGACCGCTTTCCCCCAAGGAAGGAGATGGCCCCAGGGCGGCGTTGCCCCCCTTCGGGAAGGGGGACGTGCTGGGGGGAGACAGCGCCACACCTTCTGGGGGACATACTGCTGTCACCCCTTCCGGAGCACCTTCGTCTTCTCCGCCTTCGCCACATTCGGGGTCTGGTTCTTCACCTTCCCTGCGCGTGCCAGGCTGCCGTGGACCTTTCCCATGCTTGCGCTGCCGGGGCAGCAGCGCAGTGAGACGGGAGTCTGCTGCTGGAGCCGCTTGAACAACATGTTCGGTGGCAGCCCGTGGGAGCATCCCATACCATGTTGTTGGCTTTGAATATTCGACGCTAATCGACGCTAGTTGACGTTACATCGATGCAAATCAACGCATTTTTGAAGAGGGTCCGCCCGTTTGGGCTAAGACCCCGCGGCGACGCTTGTCCACAGCCGCGCCGACACTGAGAACGTCCACGCGAAGGACGCCCCCGAATTTGCCAAATCATCCACGGTGTGAGGACGTATCAGGCGAAACCGAACGAACACCAACACAAGCCGAGCACATTGCGAGGACGTTTCAGGCGAAACCGAGCCCAAACCAGAGCCAAAGCAGGCCAAGCACAAACCAGGGCCAAGCCAGACCAATTGTGAGGACGTCTCAGGCGAAACTGGGCCCAAACCAGGGCCAAACCAGGCCAATTGTGAGGACGTCTCAGGTGAAACCGAGCCCAAACCAAGCCAAACCAAGCCAATTGTGAGAACGTTTCAGGCCTAACCGGGCCCAAACCAGGCCAAACCAGGGCCCGAACCAGGCAAATTGTGAGGACGTCTCAGGCGAAACCGGGCCCAAACCATGCCAAACCAGGGCCCAAACCATGCACATTGTGAGGATGTCTCAGGCGGGGCGCGCCGCCCAACCAGGCCGAACGAGGCCAAACCAGGCCAATCCAAAGCTCAAACCAGGCAAATTTAGAGGACGTTCCAGACAGAGTCGCCCAAACCAGGCTCCATCCACTGTCCTTCATTGATTTTAGTTCAAGGAGTGGATCACCCAAGTGGCCCCCCCCCCTGCAGGCGGCATCCCGTTTAGAATTTTAGGGGGGGGCGTTTGGACGGCATGTCCGCTGAGGCGGACGGGGTTTGGCGTTGAAAGTTTCGTTTGTCTATTGGTTGTTTCTTGGGGCATCAGTGTGGCGTAAGGACAAATCATTCCGAGCCTGTAGAAC